CTGCGCCACCAGGGAGGGCCTTTTCTTTTTTAATTTACGTTTTATTACGGGCAGTTTCCTGTCAAAGCCATTTAGGTGTGCCTTACTCTTTTTAACTAGTTAAAAACATAAACTGGTTTTTCTATTTTATGACTATACAATAATTTATTTCATATTCCGATTGCCTCTGTGGATGGTGTTGTAGAGAATTTCCCTCTTGCTTCTTTTTAACCTGCAGGTCTCTTTAATGTGGGCAACAAACTGCTGGTGAGCCTGGACTTGCTTTTTGCAATCCGAAACCAGATCAAGCTGGGAGAGGACCCCAGAGTGTCTATCAGCACTGTTCTAAAGTCAGTGCAGGAGCAGACAGGTAAAAGTTGCCTTCTTTCCCTCCTGGCAGTTAGTCCTGAGCTCTCTGGGATTTCCAGTGTCAGACCTTGGTTGAAAGTCATCTTGGAAGAGAGTGTAATTTTGTGATGGAGACTTTCCTGACATTCCTTCTTCTGGATTTGTAAATGTTAAGCTAACTTTGGAAACTCTGAGTCTGTTGTGCATCTGGGGACCGTCCACACAAGATTAAGCTGACTTTCTGAAGCTCATCCTTTGAGCATAGGTGGATGTGACCTCACTGCATGTGAGTTATGCATCCCCACACACAGCTCCTGCACGTCCGCGCCAGGCCTGTGGCTCATGGCGCCTGAAGGAGCCATTCCCATGGTTGAGGGTGGAGACCATCTTTCTTACTACCAAGAAATTATTTTTCTCTTGCTTCTTTTTTTTCCCCCCTTTTCCCTTCTCCTTCCTACAGACTCTGCTTCCCCAGTACCTTTCCTTGCTGTGAAGGCAGGTGAAATAGAGGAAATGTTCTTGGCTCAGATACGCATGTTTGAATCTGGGCTCTGCCACTTGGGTGACATGTGATTTTGAGCAAGTTACGCCTCAGTGTCTTCAGTTATAATAAAAGAAAGATTAATAAAATAAAGACCCTGGTTCATAAAGTGGTAGAGGTTGAATGAGGTAATGCAGTTGAAGTTTGTGGCACAGCATCTGGTGCCTGGAAGGAGGAGCTACAGGGGGCTGCTAGGTTTCCTCCTGATATTTTGAAGGCCAGACTACTAGATCCTCAGACTGGTTAGTATTCCTGAGTGTCCATAGGCGAGAAGCAGCCTGCAGAGTTGCTATCTTCTCGCCTTTGGCTCATCCATGGTGGCCTCAGAACCTTTTTCTATGATCTCAACACTCTTGCTGTCCTTCCAGAGAAGACTCTGACCTTGGAGGAGCTGAGCCAGCTGCAGGAACTTCTGTGTAATGGTTACTGGGCTTTCGAGTGCCTCACTGTCCGAGACTACAATGACATGATCTGTGGCATCTGTGGTGTGGCCCCCAAAGTGGAAATGGCCCAAAGGAGTGAAGAAAATGTATTGGCACTGAAAAGCGTGGAGGTAAGTGCATCTCCGCCACTGTTGGTACCTCTAGAAGTGATCTCACACTTTGGCCACGGGGGCAGATAGCTAGTCCTGTCCTGTGTGGGTGAGTGACTTCCTGCCACTTTCCAAGATTAAATCTGACGAAGGCATTTGTCAGTTGTTCCACAAATGATTTAAACATGAACGAGGTATGCTTTTAGACTCTTGGGAAGTGGCAGTGAAAATCCAGAGTTTCTGTGCTCATGAAGTGCACATGCTGGTTTGGAAAACAGGTGGGAAATGAATATTACTTGTATTACATAGTTATTTACAATTAATTTATTTAAAGACGTATCATAAGAATAAAACATGGAGAAGTGTGGTGGAATGGGGGGCCGTTCCTGCTTCATGTGGAAGGTCTTTCTATTCCGTTGGCATTTGGGTACTGATCTGAAGGAGTGTTCCAGCAGGGGGAGCAGTGACAGTGACCTGGGTGGGCTTGCTGGGTGTGACTGAGGAGCAGCAGGGAGGCCAGAGTGGCTGGACTGTGCTAGGCTTGGGAGAGAGGTGGGACATGTGAGGTTCACCAGACATGGGAATTCAGACCTAGGTTACCTGTGCCATTGGAAGGCCTCACACTGAGTGAAATGGAGCAAACAAGGGGTTTGGAAGAAAAGAATGACATGATCTGAGATAGTTCATAACAGAAAATGTTCACATAGAGAGCACCAAACTTAGTGGCTTTATACATTAATTCTAACAAATACCCAAGAAATGTTGGAGCACAGTAATAAGAGAAAAGCAAAATAGGGGTGTTTTCCCAGTTCACGTGCAAGACAACATAACCTTGAGAATGAAACCAGACGTTTAACATAAGAGAACTTGGGACTGGCTGTACTCATGAATATAGATGCCAAAGACCTAAATTAGATAACAGCAAATCAAGTTTAACAGTGAATAAAGTAATGTGCCATGACTATGCTCACCCCAGGAAAGCAAGATAGCGTCAGCATTTGGAAATTCACTAATATAATCAACCACTTAGCAGATTAAAGGAGAAAGCCATATGATTATTTCATTAGATGAAAAAAAAAAAGACTTCATATTAACACCCATTTATGATAAAGCTTATTGTACAGTGAGAATAATAGGGAGGCTTCTTAACCTAGTATGGGCTTTTTTTTAAAAAGTACCCATAGAGGGCAGAAAGCTAAAAAGACACTTCTCCAGAGAGGAAATGCAGATGGCCAACAAGCATATGAAAAAATGTTCAGCATCACTTGTAATAAGGGAGATGCAAATTAAAACCACAATGAGATACCACCTCACCCCAATGAGAATGGCACATCTTCAAACAACTAGCAACAACAAATGTTGGTGAGGATGTAGTTTGCTAAGGGAATGCAAACTAGTGCAACCACTATGAAAAACTGTTTGGAGGTTCCTCAAACTGCTTAACATGGAGCTTCCCTACGACCCAACAATCCCACTCCTAGGTATCTACCCAAAAGACACAAAAGCACTGATTCAAAAAGATACCTGCATCCCTATGTTTATTGCTGCTTTATTTACAATTGGAAAGACATGGATCAACCCAAATGACCAAAAGTAGATGACTGGATTAAAAAGATGTGTACATATACACAATGGAATATTACTCAGCAATTAAAAAAGAGAAACACATACCTTTTATAGCAACAGGGATGGAGCCAGAACAGATCGTGCTTAGTGAAATAAGCCAAAGAAAAAGAAAAATAACCGATGGTTTCACTCCTAGCAGGAGCATAAAGGACCAGGTGATAAAATGATGGTAACAACAACAACAAGGAGAAAAACTATAGCAGAGACTTTTTACAGGGGTAGAGTGGAGAATGGGATCAAAAACAGTGGGGGTGGGGAAGTAAACTGGACTGTGGTGATGGCACACGGGTGATTTAGTGATGGGAAGCCCACAGGGATTACAACTGAGATGGGAAAAGGCACAAAGTGATGTAAAAATAAACTATTATATATTTTTTAAAAAGTACCCATAGATCGATGCCATGTCTCCAAGGTCAGATGCAGATGCCCCTGGCATGGGAGGTCGTACCCTGGGGTGCTGGCTTTGCCTCTCACCTGCCTTTACTGGGGGCAAGTGGGGACCTCTGAAGAAAGCTTTAATGTAGTTTCTGGCATGGCTAGCTAAGTACACTAGGAATTCAATGCCTATTCCTCGTTCTCTTCACAATTTAAAAAGGAAAGGACATAGGTGGATCAAAAAGTTTTTGAAGGAAGGTGATGCATAACAGGACATATAAAAACATAATACTCTTTGGAGAGAAAATGAACTGTAAAAAATGTTGTTTTTTGTGTTTTTTCTTCACCATGAGGCTGTCACTAGACCCATTCAAATCTGCTTGCCTGCTGATTGCGTAAATAGTAACATAGCCACAATTTGTTGTGTTTAATTGCATCTGCTTACTTATTCTATGTGAAATTCTTTGCTGTATGACTTCATTTCCACTCAACCCTTTGAGATGAAGGGGCTGAAACCCCAGGGCTCATCCATACTCACTAGTACCTTTGGTTACTGAACTCTGTTTTTTCTAAGCACATCTAGCAAGAGACACTTTGATTTCCAGAGTAGACACAGCTCATATTCCTGCAGAGCCCTTGTCTCCATCTTGCTGGTCCTTGACCTATGCTGGTCAAGACTCTCTTCTCTTTTTTTGTTTTTGAAGATTTATTTATGCATACAGAACTGGGTATAGGCTAGAGGTACAGGGCGGTGAAAATGTTCACCAAAGACAGAGTGGGGAGCAGAACAGGCAGATCGATGAAGTACACTGCTGAGGGGAGCAGCGAGCGAAGCAGAGGTCTGCCCCGCCATGTGGGCAGCTCCCTGGTTAGGGATCGAACTTGAGCTGACACAGCTGCAGCTAGCTTCCCAGTGCTGTGCTTTTAACCCATTGTGCCACCAGGGAAGGCCCTGGTCAAGGCTCTTGCCTCACAGGATGGAGCACCATTTCCCTACTCTCAGCTGTGTGTGTCCCTGCCCTCCTGTGGTGCTGGCAGTTTCTGTGTATAGAATGTTGTGTGTGTGCGTACATACATGTACACGTGGAGGTGAACCTGTGAAATGAAAGTTTCTGAACAACGCTTTATGCTATTGTCTATAGAAGACTGTTTGGATTGACCCCTCTCCTCCGTAACTGTTGGCAGGAGGACCCTCAACAGATGTCAGTAACCACGGCACACACTGTCATTTGGCATTTCCTATCCCTTCTTTGTGGGTGGACTTTAATACCTTATGAAACTGGGGCACTTGCTGTGTCCTTACGTGTACACTGAGCACCTGTGGGGGTGGTGGGAGGAAGAGGAGAGCAGGGAAGGAGAGGTCTGTGTGGAGCAGCAGTTCTCAGGCATAGAATTGCAGTGGGCATGGTTCTCCATCTTTGATCAGGAGACTTGCTAGACTCACCCCTGGAGTTTCTGATTGGATAGGTCTGAAATGGAGTCAAGAATTTCTGTAAGTTCCCAGGTAATGCCCTCACTGTTAGACCTACTTTCCTAGGGAATCTTTGAAGTGCACACCTGATTTAGTTCATAGAGATTGTGCTTTGGCTCAGTTCTCTGAATAAGAGTTGGCGAATTGCTGAGTGACATAATGCTCTGGAGATAGAAGACCAGGGGCCTTCAGTGGCATGAGTGATGGGTGCTGCAGGAGGTGGCGCTGTGCACCAGGGTGAGGGGTCAGCAGGGCCTGGGGAGCAGGGAGCCGGGCTACTCCATCCTATTCCTGCCAGCTGGGTGGGGATTAAGGGCTTGGGCTTTGGACCCAGAACGTTGTTCACTTCTTAACTCTGCCCTTCAGTCTAGTGTCTCACTCCGACCCCTTGCCTGCTATGGCAGCGTAAGTGCCGAGTTAGTGCCTGGCACATGACAGATGCACACCTGGTGGCCCCCCTTTCCTGGCACGGCTGGGGAATGACCCAAATGAAGTATAGGGTCTGAGGGGTGCTGTGGCATGGGAGAAGCCTCGTGCCAAGTGGCATGGAAATCAAGGTGGTCCAGATGGAGGCATCCCGGCGGCGCAGGCTGTCAGAACCCAGCTCCCAGCTTTGGTTGCCGTGGCCATGTTGGGAGCTTCTGTGCTGCTGGTTCTCCGTGGCACCTACATTGTGATCTTTTTTGTCCTGACCCCTTAGTTCACCTGGCCTGAGTTCTTGAGCTCTAACGAGGTAAATGTGGAGGATTTCTGGGCCACGATGGAGACAGAGGCAATCGAGCAAGTGGCCTTCCCCACCAGCATCCCCATCACCAAGTTTGATGCCTCTGTTATCGCTCCCTTCTTCCCACCACTCATGAGAGGAGCTGTGGTCGTCAACACGGAGAGAGACAAAAGTCTGGATGTGCAGCCAGCACCTGGTAAGGCACCTGGCCGGGGATGGGGTCGGGGCAGGCCTGCGGTGGAGTATGCGATGGCCCGTGGCGGGGTGGCACAGGCTGGAGAAAGGCAGCTGCCCTGCCTCCATGGCGCTCTGGAAAGAAGGTGACAACCTACTGCAGCACCCCCTGAGATTAAATCCACAGTACCGAGTTTGAGGAGTTGCCAGCCATATCATCAGGGCTCACACAGCTGGTTGGCAGCTGTCCTCAGCCTGCTGCAGACCCTCCTGAAAGGTGCTGCCGGCCAGGCTCCCTCCCGAGATTCTCACCGTTATGTACAGGGAAGCCAGGAATCTGCTTTGTATATGCATCGTTAGGGTCATTTTACAGGCGCTGCATTGCACGTGGGGGTGGGGGGGAGGCCCCGGGCGAACTACTGAGAACGTGATTTCTGACAACTCGGGGCTGGGGCCTAGGCTTGGTACCTTAGGTGGCCTCCACCAAAGCCGGTCATTGCACGGATCCTCTGCTCCACTCACAAAGAAGGCATGTGCCTGCTCAGCTCCCAGGGGCTGTGAAGTGAGAAACGCTTTGCTTTTGTACCCCACCGTAAAAAGCAACTTTGCACCATGACTTACGTGGTACATTAATCAGCATAAGTGTATTTGTAACTAAAACAAAATTTTCACAAAGTAGTGCTTTTTAATCCAGTATAAAACACTTTACTTTCTATTTTACTTCACAGTTGAAATTCAGAACATGACCTACTGAATTGGTTTTGTAATACCCTGGGATGCACTAATTCTCGAACAGGGCTTCTCACATTCGATAGGTAGAGGCCCACCTCATGTTTACCACTCCAAGGCTCAGGCGCGTTTTTTTAAGGTCCTAGTAATTTGTCAGGCTGGTTTGGGGACACGAAGAGCGTCTTTAAAGGAGAGCTGCTGCTGCTTGCTATGTATGTGAGCAGCAGGTTTCTGATGAGCCTGCAAGAGGAAAGCTGACCCACTGTGGAGGTGTTGCGAGGGCTCTCTGCTAGATCTTGCTCGTTAGTGTTCAGGTCAGAAAGCCAGTTCTGATTTTTTTTTTTAAATGTATACAAGAACTGGGTCACAGGTGGAGAGTGGAGGGTGAGAGAATTCACCAGAGACAGAGTGGGGAGCAGAAAAAGCGGATCAACTGCAGCACCCCCTGAGATTAAATCCACAGTACCGAGTTTGAGGAGTTGCCAGCCATATCATCAGGGCTCACACAGCTGGTTGGCAGCTGTCCTCAGCCTGCTGCAGACCCTCCTGAAAGGTGCTGCCAGCTGGGCCGGCAGAGGTCCGCTGGGCCATATGGGTCAGCTCCCTGGTCAGAGATCAAACTCATGCTGCAGTGGCTGTGGATTGCTTCATAGTGCTGAGACCTAACCCTTGTATGACTTGACTATCCATAGCTGCAGAAGTTACCAGACCTGCCCCTCCCTTGAGCCCCCGGGCCCAGGCTCGCTGGCCATGCTCTTGGCCCTGCCCGTGTTCTCAGCCTCACGTAGGAGGTATCAGCTGGCACAGTGCCTCCCAGCACTGGCTCTCTTGCAGGCAATGGCAGTGCCTTGGTGAGGCTGCTCCAGGAGGGAGCCTGCAGGCTGGAGGAGATCAGCACCTACAGTGAAGACGACCTGCGGCACCTGCTCAGGCAGTGCGGCATCCCCTTTGGGGCAGGTGACTCCAAGGTGAGTATGGGAGGTCAGCCGTTGATGCCCGTTCTCTGAGCAGGGATGGGCGAGTGCACAGGAGGCCCTCTTCTGTCAGTCCTCGGCAGGGTGTGGGGGCTCAGGTTCCCAGCTCTCCGCTTGCTGTGACCCTGCGTACACTACTATACATCTCGGAGACTATTTTCCTTCATTTGCCAAGTGAAAATAGCCAAAATACTCCCTAAGGGTGGCTTCAAGGAGGGTGCTTTGCAGCGTGTCTGGTGCCTAACCAGGCCCTTGGAGAATGGGCATCAGAGGATCCAGGGACGGGTGAGCATGTGATGCACATGCACGTGGTGGCCGGACGGCTCTTGCAAGTTGTGTGCTTCCTTTTAGTTCGGGTGTGACAACAGTGTGACCTGACCCACCAGCCTGTTACCAAATCTTGCATCTCAGCACTTTCCCTGCCCTTCAGTAGGAAAGCCTCAGATCTCAGAGTCTGCTGCTTGCCCTGCTGGGCCCTAGAGCAGCTGTGGTGGGAGAGGCCTGTTTCACCTTGATAGATGACTCTTGCTTTGCACTGAAGTGGGTGTTAGTTGCTGCACACCAGTCTGGTCCCATCGCAGCTAGCCTCACTTAGCGATCATATCCTCTGCCCAGGACCAGCTCTGCTTCTCCTTGCTGGCCCTCTACAAATCTGTCCAGAATGGAGCCAGTGCCAAACAGCCCCCGCCTCATCTCACAGGGGGTAAGATCTACAAGATGTGCCCCCACCAGGTAAGAGGACCACTAGGTTGGCGGGGGGTAGGGGGGTGCATGGGTTGTCCATGTCAGATCACCCATGCAAGTGTCATTGATCCTCTCATCTTTAATGTCTTGGGTGCCAGCCTTTGGGCTAGAGAGGAGCCAGGGTCATCATCAGTGAAGTATTTATCAAGCTTGCTACCTGCCTTGTGCTGACCCCTGAATCAGCTGTCGAGAGCCCCACAGTGAGGCACAGCGACAACACTCCCTTCTGGCTGACCCGATTTTATCATGGGGAAATCACTGTGGCTTGGCAGTAGCTCTGAAGGAAGACCCTGTGGTGGAAAGTAATGGGGAGTGACTTGTCGCCACACAGCTCCCAGAGAAGGCCACAGTCCTGGAGGGGAGCCAAGGAAGGAAAGTTCTGCAGACGGAAGAGTGACTGCTTAGGCCTGAGTAGAAGACTGGGGGACCAGGGGGAGGAAGGTTGGAGGTCACCCGTTCTAGGTCAGGTCGTGGCGTGTAGGCCAGAGCAGTTGGGAGTTTTGCTTCTAAGTGAAGAGGGGTCCATTAGATGGCTTGCATGGGTAGATGTGCTCTGGTTTAGGGAAGGCCATGCTGTGTAGAGTAGGCCCATCCCAGAAGAGGCTGGGGCGGTTGACCCCGAACGGTCCTGACGGGGAGAGAACCTGCCCAGAGGTCTGTGTCATTGTGGCTGGGAATTCCCTCATGGATACCGCAGGGGCAGGAGAGCCATAGGTGTCCGGGCTGGGAGGACACCGGTCGGATGGGTGGGTGCGCAGCTTGAGGTCAGTCTGAGCGCCCCGTTGGTATGCAGTACTTCCTGGAGCTGTCGGCTGCTGCCTCAGCCGCCTCCCTGGGTAGTACAGCATGGTCGGGAGGAAGCTGCTCGGAGCACAATGGCGTGGCCCCACCTGCAGAGACTAATTCTTAAGGCCATGTTGGCTTCCAGAAATCCCCATCTGTGACCCAGCTCTTAGCTGCCCACACTGAATTGGATGGCACTGAAAGGGGTGGGCGGGACGGACCCACAGCCGTCCTGTCAGCCTCAGCCTCAGCTCATAGGAAGAGTAGGAAGGAAGCAGAAAGTCCGGGCCCTGGCACGGTGACAAGATGCTCTGGCAGCATCAGCTGAGGGCCTGGCTTGTCCATGGGCCAGTTTTCTAAATCGCCGTGCTGTGCCTTCATGTCTCCAGGTGGTCTGCGGCGCCAAGTACCTCGTGCGGGGGGAGAGCGCCCTAGACCACGTGGACCTGCTCGCCTCTTCCCGTCACTGGCCACCCGTCTACGTGGTCGACATGGCCACACCCGTGGCCCTGTGTGCCGACCTCTGCTACCCAGAACTGACCAACCAGATGTGGGGGAGGAACCAAGGCTGTTTCTCCAGCCCCACAGAGCCGCCTGTGGTGAGTTCCCGGCTGAGGAATTGGAGTGGTTCTCGTAGGCCAGCAGCGTCTCACCCCCAGGCCTTTAGGGAGGTCTTCCGGAACCATCTCTAGCGGCCTTTGCCTCCACCAGCACTTTCTCCTGATGCTCTGGCATCAGCATTTACCCACACAATATTACCTCATGTGCGAGTGAGGCCATAGCATGTCCATCGTGTGCCCAGGGCATCCCGCTACATGGCTACCTCTGGCTCCTAACTGACCTTGTGTGCCCTCTTCTTTTCTGAAAGTGGAAAGTCCAGCCCAAAGGGAAGTGGACTTGGCAGTGTCCCTGGCGGGTTAGGGCATGGCAATTGCTGATCTCTGCAGCCTGGTGCATCATACTGGGCAGTGAGGGGCTCTTACAGAGACAGTGGGCCCCCTCGGGCCAGCCTTGCCCTTTGCTCGAAGAGGCGTTGGGGGAGGAGGATGACACTCACCACTCACCTTTTCCTTATCCCCGGGTCCCGCTGACTTGGCTTCTGTGGGGCACCACACCCACCTGTCACCCTACTGCCCCTGTGAACTGAGGAGGGCCGGTGACAGTCTGGCTCGGGTAGGTCAGAATCTGCTCTGTCCCTGCGCACACACAGGACACGCCAGAAGAGAGGGGCCATGCCGTAGGCGCATGGTGACGCGAGATTTAATTAAGCGGGCTGGCTGCCCATCCTTCCCTGCATTGGCTCCTTCCTTCGTGTTCAAGTGCTTTCTCTCTCCTAGAACGTGTCCTGCCCAGAGCTCCTGGATCAGCATTATGCAGTGGATGTGACAGAGGCCGAGCACTCCGTCCAGCACCCAGTCACCAAGACTGCCACCCGGCGCATCGTCCATGCCGGCACACAGCTCAGCCCTGGCGACCCCAGCGCCGGGCACCACTCTTTGGCCCTGTGCCCTGAGTTGGCACCCTACACAACCATCCTGGCCTCCATCCAGGACAGTAAACCAAATAGTGTCCGCCAGAGGCCCATCGCCTTTGACAATGCCACCCACTATTACCTCTACAATCGCCTCATGGACTTCCTCACCAGCCGAGAGATTGTCAACCGGCAAATCCATGACATCGTGCAGAGCTGCCAGCCCGGCGAGGTGGTCATCCGCGACACCCTCTACCGCCTGGGGGTCGCTCAGATCAAGACAGAGACGGAGGCGGGTTATGAGGAGGAGGCAGCTGTGGCAGCAGAATAGACAGGCCCTTCTACAGAGACAACACCGTCTCTCTCAAGCCATAGTGAGGCCTGGCCCGGGCAGGGGGCAGTGGGAGGTTCACCTGCAGCGAGGGCCTCCCATGCTGGGACCGACCAAAGAGCTTCCGTTTCCTGAGCACGCCAGGGCCCAGTCCCTGGTCTGCCTCCTCATGGGCTTGGGAAGGGAGCAGAGTGTTCCTTACTCGCCCTAGAGAGCACTGGGGGCCACAGTGTGTTCAGCAGAGGGGAGGGAGCCTGAGGGGGCCTGGTGGCTGCCTGGCCTGCCGTAGGACCCCAGGGCCAGGCAGGAGTCTGGCGCTAGGTGGGAAGGCCGTGAGGTGTCTTCCGTCTCTGAGGAACGCTGTCTCCAGGGTCCACACCCATGGTTCCTTAGCCTGTTGCCTTTGACTTGGGGCTTTGGGGGCCTCATTTGTTCTGGGGACCCTTTGGCTCCTGATTTCTCTCAAGGAGGGCTGTGTTTCCCTCCTGCTTTTCCTACACCCTGTAGGGGAAGCTGAGGCGGAGGAAGCAACCACAGCTCTTCTAGGACTTTCCTCTTTGCCCAAACTTTGAGGAAGAGGAAGAGGGTCCCCTTCCTTCTTCCCCTGGCCACTGCTGCTGCACCTCCAACCTCCCTGGGCCCTCCCCACAGAGGGGTGTGGCCCACAGGCACGACATAACCTGGCAGCAGTAGGAGAAACTCCCTTCTGTGAAGGGGAAGCGGGTCGGGCCGTGAGGAGACAGCAGGACGGCTCAGTGCCCAGGGTTTGCTGGGGCCTGGGAGTTGGCCGTGTGTTACTTAATTTATTGAGAGGAGCGGAGTAGGTGGCTTTCCCCCCCTCTCACTTCCCGGGACAAAAATAAAATTTATTAAATTATCTGATTTTGGTGAAGCAGGAGTCAGGTGCGTGCTCGCTGTGCCAGCCGGTCACGGGTGTGGGGGAGGCTGCAGGCCCGCAAGAGGCGCCAAGAACCAGAGGCCAGCTGTGTTAATGCTGTTAGTTTAATGCTGACGAACATCCCGCAGCGTCACTGTTAGCTATGAGTCAGCTGGGGGGTGCGTGCTGCTTGCTTGGTGTGGCCAGCCACACAGGTCGCCTGCTCAGGATGATGGAGGACTGGGCAGAGCACCCCAAACTCTTAGCTGCCACCTGTTAATGCAGCAACACTAGATCCAGGGCTAGTGTTTTGGGGGATAGGGGGAGCTTCTTGTCAGGTAGCCACCCTGCTTCAGGAGCCTGAGCAGAGCACAGCCGCTGGGCACCCGTCTACTTTGTCAACTTTCAGCGCCCTGCCTTGTTGGGGCCCTTCACTCCGCCAAGGCCCAGGAGCCCTATTTTGTGGCTGCTAGGGTGTCTCTGGGGACTTTGGAGGTGCTAGAACAGTCCGTTTCTATGAAACAGGAGAGGAGTAGGGACAGGACTCCTGGGGTTTGGGACAAGGTAAAGGGTAAGCGCTGGGGTCTCCCAGTTGGGTAGCGGACAGGCCACGGCATTGAGAACGTGGCGGTAGGGCAGGGCTCAGCCCCAGCCCCTAACTGGCAGTGATGGCCCAGATCCTGAAAGTGGGGTTCTGGAGTTTCAGAGCTGGGCTGGGCAGTTGGATGAGGTGCCCCAGGGCAGAGTCTGTTCCTCCACAGCGCCCTCGGGGGTCATAGAAGCTTGGTGGAGGGGAGGGATGCTGTGTCCCCTCAGCAGAACTGGTAGTTGTTGGGCTGCAGCAGGGGCTGGGCAACGTCCCCCTGCTCACAGCAGGCCAGGTGCTCACTGGAGCTCTCCTCAGGTTCGCTGCTGCTGCTGCTGCTGCTGCTGCTATTGCTGCTATTGCTGCTACTGCTACTTGCCAGATTGGCATAGTCCTGCGAAGAGGCCAGGGCAGGGTTGTGCTGACAGGCAGACCCGGTCCCACCCGTGTTAGCCCGGCCCTGCCCTGGCCCTGGCCCACTCACCCGCTCGCTTCTGTCCACTGGGGTCTGCGCCTGCAGCAGGGAGCAGATCTGCTGGAACGTGGGTCTGCGGGTGGGCTCCAGGGCCCAGCAGGCCTGCATAATGCTGTATCTGAAATGGACGCAGACTGCCTGAGGTCTGGGTCGGTACCTACACCCCTCCAAGGCCCACCCAGCAGAGGTACTGCAGTCTGGTCGAGTGAGCTGAGCACAGGATGTTGCTCACTCTGGCCATGTGTTGTCACCCACTCCTCCCACCACCCTCAGAGAGGCGGCACCATCATGCCCTCTTCAACAACTGAATCTGCAGAAGCTGCGCAGGGATGCTGATCTCCCCAAGCTTAGAGAGCTGAGAAGGGCACTGCCTGCTGCCAGGGGTAGCTTGGGGGCGGCCCAGCCGTGAGTGGCTGGTGCCAGAAACTGGAGGGTCAGATGGGCTGCAGGGGGACTGGCTAGCCTGTCGCCCCTACTTTGCCCTGGGTGCCCGCCAGGAGGGGGAGCAGTGGTGTCAAGAGTGGCTGTGCAGAGATGGGGGGGGGTGTAGATTTGGTCGAATGTTGTGGTGAGGACAGAGTACCAGAAAGAAGCTCATGGTGGGCCAGTGACCCCAAGGGGAAGCTCATCCAGCACAGGAGAAATGAGAGGAGCCTGCATTGGGGTCGTCGTAATATACGGCCCACGTTAAAATCTTGAGTTCAGCCCCAGTTAAAAACTGTCTTGTGTGAGAACACCCCTCCCGCCCCCTGCGCCCCTGCCCGCTGTGCCTCCTGGGGAGCTAGAGGAAGCCCAGAACCCCGTGAGACTGGCCACGCAGCCCACTGCGGGAAGATGCTGCTTGGTGCCTGCACATTTGGGCAGGGAGAGACTGGCCGTTGGCCGCCCCCTTCAGCCCAAGCCTGAGTCCTTCACTTACATGTTCTTTGGGGCAAACATGGGCTGGGCCATTTGGTATCCATCTTTCACCAGTTTGTAGAACTTGCTGTTCACCAGGATGCCAGGGTAGGGGTTTAGTCCTGCAAAGGTAAGCCCACGTTCTGTTCACCTTCCCGCCCCCTCCCCCTGGCCCTGTGTCCCCCTCAGTGAGGCTGCGATAATGCGAGTGCGACAGGCACTAGGCGCTGCAAAGGGCAGAGCTTCAAGTGACATGGGGGCTAAGGTGGTCTGGTTGGCACTGCAGAAGTGAGAGCTGTGCCCCAGGCGGGGCGAGTGTCAGAAGCAGCAGTAAGTGTACATTAGGAGGGGACAGCCCCAAAGGAGCGTCTGCCCAGGACCACCCCTTCACTTCCACTAACCCTGCCCCAGGCACTGGCCTTGGCCAACTCTAAGGAGCCATAGAAAAGGGGCCTGGGCTCACCAAGTGAGAAGATCTCCCACAGGAGGATGCCGTAGGACCAGACGTCACTCTGCACTGTGTACACGCAGTCAAAGATGCTCTCTGGGGCCATCCACTTCACGGGCAGGCGGGCCTGCACGGCAGCCCCAGTCACCTCGGGCCCCGTGCCCTGCTCCAACCCAGCGTGGCCTGCCCTTCCCAGCACTCACGTTGCCCTTGACAATGTAGTTGGAGTCGTTCATGATGTCCCGAGCCAGTCCGAAGTCCCCAATCTTGGCCACGTGCCCGCTGGTCAGCAGCACGTTCCGGGCCGCCACGTCTCGGTGGATGCACTGGGGAAGTGCTCGCGCTCAGCCCCAGCCTTCTCTGACCCCCACCTGTACCCAGGTCGCTGGCAGAGCAGCCAGGGCCCTGGAGCCGAGTGCTGTCAGGCCCCCAATAGCCGCCACTTTCTGGCCCTGCCAGGTGCTTCTCTTGGCACTGTGCACATTGGCATCCCACTTGCTCTCAGGCAACCCAGTGCTGGGCCCATCTTTATAGGTGTAGCAACCCAGGCCAGAGAACTGCGTAGCTGCTCAAGAACACAGCGAGTGGCAGAGATGGTACTGGGGCCTCCGTCCCGCTACTCACCACTCAAAGCCAGCACGCACGCCAGTTGAGGGAGGAAATGGGCAACCTGAAGAGCCGGGGACAGTAACCTGCCACCCCCTCGGATTGCTGATTAAACCCCGTCTCCTCCAGCTTGTCTCGGGAGTGAGTGGCAAGGAGCCAGACCCGACTCCAGTAACTGCCAGCACTCATCTGGACTCCCTCCTTAGTGCGCTGAGAGGTGCTCGCAGCCACTCGGGGCGCTGGCAGCCTCCTGGGCTGCGTGTCACGTTAACATCCATCTACACCCTCACGGTGACTGTGGGTGTTCCTTTTCCCCCCACTGGGTGCTCCCTGAAGGGTACAGCAGTTATTCACACTGATGTAAAGGGGAAGGAAAATGGCCCCTTCTTGGAAATGGCCTGGCACACCAGGTGCTGGGCACAGCGTCTCCCGCTCATTCCTGACCTCGGACAGTGCCGCTCCTTCTCTTCCCCATGCTCCCGTTTCCCCTCACTCATCGCCAGGGGCCTGGGTGACAGCTCACTGGGCCCAGTCCCCGACTCACGTTCTTGGAGGCGAGGAAGGCCATGCCCTGGGCCACCTGGCTAGAGAAGTGCAGCAGATCCTGCAGCTCCAGCAGCGCCCCCTCCTCCTTGTCCGGGTCTGCATGGGAGGAGACATCAGGGCGGCCTGAGGCACCCCCCACCTCCCTGCCCAGGCTTGCAGTCCTCCCCATGGGTATCGCCTCACCTTGCTCAGAGAAGGAGTCGTTTGAAGAAGAAGTGGAAACAGGTCTCATCTCCACATAGGTGTCCAAGCCCTGACTGGAGAAGCCGCTGTCCCTGCGTGGGAGAGCACGCCAGACGCATCAGTCCCGAGGCCCACGCTGCCCAGCTCAGGTGCGGCCTTTGCCCACTCGCAGCCTCTTAGCAGGGAAAGGAGAGGACCTTTCTGACAAGGAAGCCCCACCAACTCCTGAGAGATCTCTGCTGTGGACTTGGTTGTCAGGGAGGGAGCAGATACCTACCTGTCCAGCCTCAGGGTAGGACTGCCCACCAAAAGCTGCTCGCTGCCCTGGCATTATCCTCCTGGCCCTCCCTCAAAACAGTACTGTGGGGGCGGGTGTATTCCTTTGCTCCTGGACCCTCCCTTATCCCAACAGTAGTCTCACCCCTGGCGTCACAGTAAGATTCCCCCGGGAGCTTTCACTGGATGGCCAAGGTTGGGGGGGAGGAAGCTTGTCATTCATCCTTTTTAATCTCTCCTTGTGCAACCTCAGTTGAGACCCACTAAGCAGAGCCAGGGCAAAGCTTCTTAAACTAATTTGTGCTCATGTGACTCACCGGGGAATCTTACTGAAAGGCAGGTTTTGCTTTTGCAGTACGGGCGGATCTGAGGCATCACTGTTCTAATGGTCTCAAGGGTGCCAGTGGCCCAGCATTGGGGAGCAGGTGAATTTGAGAAGCACTACTCTAGAATGGAGAACTTCTGCTGCTTCCGAACTCTGGCCAGAGCAGATTTCTGTGCCTCTCTGCACCCCCCCCCCCACCACCACCAGAGATGAGGGCCCGGACAGTGTCCATGGTCTAGTGTTCCCCGGAAGAGATCCTAGTGTTTTATCTGTGATCTGACATGGCAAATCAGCACTCGCCTTACTCTAGAAATTATACTTCTGTTTATGCAGCCCAGGACCCCACTGGCAGAACTGTTTCCCAGGCCTTTTGCCCTGGAAATCACTGCAGCATGAGTCCTTTACCCATTTTGCAGATGTGAAGATGTTCATGGTTCTTGTTTTTATTTAATCTGGCCTGAGGTTGCAGCCTGCAGAAGCCCCGTATGAATGGCCCTCTGGGAGGGGTTAGAATCAGAAGAGGAAGCAGTTCTTGCCAATCTCCACAGTGGAGGACACGGGATGGAGTGAAAGGGCCCCTTCACCTTTTGCTTGTCCAGGTTTGGCAGTGGACAGAGGCTGGGGCAGGGCCCGCAGCGGTGTGCTTCCTGGACTGTCCCAGACTCAAGTGCCTGACTCTGAGCCTCTCAGCTCCCGAGAGAGACGTCTCAAGGGGCAGTGTAGCTAGGTGGGCACAGGACTGGGAGTCAAGAAACCAGGATTCTAGCCCAGCAGTGCCTCTGGCCCTGACTCATTGTGACACTCGCCACTTTCTTTCCTTGGTTTCCAGTGCGTCTCTGTCCATCTGCCTCTGCGTGGCTTCCAGGAATCACAGCCTTCCAGAGTGGCAGAAAGACAGGAATTTTAGCCTCCGACAGCTCACACGTGAACCAGGCCCAAGCGTCCCAGGGTCACGGCCAGTCGGGTCAGTTGCCACCCTCTCCTGGTGACAGGCAACAGAGCCCCCACTTGTCTGATAACCCCTAAATGCACTAGGTGACCCTCACTGCCCCGCAGCAAGCTATAGGAGAAATGAGGTGACCTTCCAAGACCTGCCCACCTCGGCTAGGGGCCCATGAAGGCCTTGGTTGGTCTTCTACAGGTGTGGAAGTGAAGGTTTCTCAGTGCCCTTCTCTACCAGACTGTTAGCTGCACACCTGTGCCCTTGAGACACCCAGAGCGCAGGGGGTGCTCGAATATTGGATGCTGGGAAGAAGCCTACAAAATCGGAGTTGCTCATATGAGCTGGGATGGCCTCTCCTGTGGCTTGGGCGGGAATGTGAGGGTCTCCAGCCACCCCGCCCTGAGCTGGCTTTGGGGCTTGGACCTGGAGCCCCACCTCCAAGTTCTGGCAGGGACATACCTGCGGACGTATTTCTTGGCAGGGACATACCTGCGGACGTATTTCTTCTCCAGGTGGATGTTCTTATAGCCTGTGGTCACCTCGGCCTCGGGACCTAGACTCAGGCTGGGGCCCAGCATGGCCTCCGCCTTCCTGCGGAGGAAGTTGAGCAGGTCGCCGTAGCAGCAGTACTCAGTGATGACCAGGACAGGGCCTACGGCAGCAAGAGGATGGGGTGAATGTCGACAGAAACATGGGCCGGGCGATGGCTGGGTCTCAGGAGCTCTGAGTTCCAACCCCCAGTGAGCGGCCGTTTCTGGTCTCTGTGTCTGGGTAACCCCATATCTAAAGCAAAACCATTAAAGCTGAATAATTATTTCTTCAAAGGGAATGGGTGGTGGCAGCTTCCAACAGGCCAAAACTGCAACAGAAGAGGGGGCCAAGTGGGAGCCCCAGCAGGCCTGGGGCACACCCTTGGAGCTGAGGTGAGCGGCCACGCCTCTTCAGATGAGTGCTTCTCAGAAGCAGACTTGGGGCCTTCAGACCCCCAGAATCTGACTCCCTGGAGCAGGGCGTGGGGCTTGTACTGTCTCTCTCCCTGGGGGACTCCATTGTCTGAGACCCACCAGTCAGGGCTCACAGTTCTGTCGGCAGCATCGTAAGTGCTTCCAGCCCAGCCAGGCGAGTGGCCCAGGAATTTGAGGGGTGCTGCCAGGGGGTCCTACTGACACTCAGAGCAGGGAGAAGGGTTGGAATGGGGTGAGATGGGGCAGGGACCCACAGATGGCCACGGGGCCCCAGGGCCTCACCTCCATGGGTGCAGGCTCCCAGAAGGTTGACTATGTTCTCATGCTGGCCCAGGTGGCTCATGATCTTCAATTCCGACATGAGGGCCTCCTTCTCGTCAGCATGGGCGGTGGCTGAGAGTGGCGGTCACAGGTGCCACAGCGCAGAGAGCCACACAGATAGGAGACAGCAGGGGAGCAAGCCGAGGGTACCCAGAACCCCAAAGTGGTCAGAAGCCAAGAGAAGGAGAAATACGAACACAGATGGTAGTAGGGTGGAGACAGAAGAGGGGTGGGCTGTCAGCAGCTGGTCTTGGGGTGCAGGAAGCCAGGCAGTAGCCAGGTCACAGCTCTTGGTGACCATTGTATACCCTGGCCTCCTTGGGGCTCAGCTAGAAGCCCCTCCAGACCCAGGAGCCAGAGGATGGCTGGAGCTCATCAGGGTCCTTGCCTCAACCCCGGACTCTGTCCCTGGGCTCTGCTTCAGCTGCACCGTGAGGACCCTCATGCTGGCAGTGCAGTCTCTAGGGCCCACCTCCTCCCGCTGCTCACCCCAATGCCCAAGTTGCCCTCTCACTCACACTTCAGCATCTTCACAGCCACCTTCAGGACAGCATCCTCCTTGCCCAGACCAAAGGCTGTGGCTTCCACCACCTTCCCAAAGGCGCCGGCTCCCAGGGTCTTACCTGCCACATACACAGCCTCCTCAGCCCCTGGGCACCAGAGGGCGCTCTCTAGGGCAACGGGGCCCCCTGAACCCCTGCTGGCAGGGTGACGTGAGTGCTGTGTCAGGTGTGGAGACCCCATCTCACCGAACTGCAGGTTGTTTCGAGGGAACTCCCACTTTGCATTGTAGGGCAGCTGGGTGGGGTCAATGAAGGTGTAGCTGTTGCCCTCGTAGCTCTCGATGATCTTCCAGCGCACCTGGTACTTGGGTTTCTGAGGGAGCAGGACAAAGCGTGCTGCAGGCCGGAGGAGCCCCGGGGAGGGAGAGTGGCCATCCCATGGACCTGGCCGGAGGAGGCAGGGTGGCCCCGAAGGTGGTGGGGGACCCTGTCCTCTCAGGCCCGGGCCCTTTGTGACTCTGCCTCATGTCAGACCTTCCCTGCCGCAAGCCTCAGTTTTCCTAGGTGTCATTTGAAAAATCTGGACTGCTCAGTCAATAAGGACCTTGACAGCTCTCATAATATGGAAGTTCCTGAGCCAGGAGAGAGGGTGGAACTTGAGATTCTTCACCCACTTCCCATCCTCCCACCCAAACATGGAGTTCTAAGAACACAGACAACCTTGAACGTCTCAGCCCAGACTGTTCAGATGGTTCTGGGAAGAAAACAAAGCCGATGCAGGCAGACCCCCCACATCACAGCACCAGGACCCTGGAGCCTGCCTGTCAGAAGTGGTCCCCATGGACAGTGGGAGTGTCAGTCAGATATAAGCTTTGTGTCCTTCGCCTACCGTGTTGACACAGCAATGAAGTTGCCTAAAATGTCTCAAGATATCTCCCTGCTGGGAAATGAGACATGCCTGTAGGACTAGAGAGGGAGGGGGCAGTTGACGATAAGGCAGTGAGGGCCCCAGGTGTTAGGAAGGGGCCAGCTGAGAGCCCATCGAAGGAGGCGCTTGGCAGGTGATGGAGGGAAGGTCCCTGTTTCTGTGTGAGCGACAGGAGGTGGGGAGAGTTGCGGGGGGAGGG